TTCCGTCTTCACCTGTGTAAATGTTGACAAACTGAAAATAAGGCGACAAAAACCGCCTTCACAAGGACGTTTTCATTGGGCGGTGCATCGGACAAGGGAGGCACCTGTATATAACCTTCCCACTCTCCATCGCCAAACGATTGAATGGCATCTCCTATGACTATTTGCTATACGGCAAAAAGAAACATGGGAGCGCCCTGGAGCCGATTCTCCGCTGCCATTCAACGTAAAGCCCTATTCATGAAAAGGACATCATGGTTATCTCCTCGGCGTGTTTTTCCAGTGGTGGTTGTTTCGGTGTCCCACTCGTGTAAAAGTGGATCAAAATCCAGCAAGTTTTTAGCCTGGACTCCTTGAAACCCGAATTATTGTGGCCACCCCCTCCAAAAACTGGGTGGTGTAGCGGTGCTTTTGGCGTCGGTTTGACGTCTAGACCCACGTTCAAGCTACGGTCGAACATGTCGGATAATGACAGGAGGCAAAAACGGTTGATGTAGCGCCCAAAATGATTTTGGACGAAAGAACAATATTCCTTTGTATTGAAGCGCGAGACGCTACTAAAACACTAAAACCACAATACGAACGCGTGCATCTATTGCCCATTCAAGCGACGCGACAATAGCAAGCGGTGGCGCAGGCTGAACTTGAATTATACGGAGTAAAAAGAGATCGGTATTGAAGTAGAATCGAGAACTCGGATTTTACAGTATTACAATGGTGTTACCAACGTTGCTAGACTAACAAACCCCCGCTCATAGTCCAGAGTCCACTTTTTATATCAAGCCGTCTCCCTCTGCGCAGTCATATACTAGCCGTGGAATTCATTCCTCAAAGGCCGGCTTAGCACAGAGGTAGCTGCGTCTGCCTTGTAGGTACCTTACGTAGTCATCTCGTAAGCACTACGATAGCAGAAGGTCGTGTGTTCAATCCACACAGTCGGCATTCATGTAGCATCTATCTTCCTAGAGCCCGCATTCTTTTTTCACCCAACACTTTTTTTGCCCCTTCCATTCCCTTCCATTCCAACCCCGACTTCTGTTCATTCCAACACCGACTTCTGGGGGATTAACCCGGCGGTTTGTTGCGCGGTCCGTTGTAAGACTAACTTTTAAACGCAGCTTAATTTTCTTCATTTGCCCAAGTACCAGCCAGTCATGGCTGCGCACATCACTGGTATCCAGGTCCATCAGTCTAGTTTGGCGGGCCCACTGATATCTATGCCGCCCCAAGTTGCTGAAACACAAAATGCGCGGATCTCTTCTTTGAATGTCAACGATCGGTGAATGGACCAAAACGCCAAACAAAAGCCAAGGCAAATCTGAATGCGTTCTTTTTGAATGGTGCAAAACGCCAAACTACAGGCGAGGCGATTTCAAAAAGTTATGAAAAAATGCGCATAAAAAGGCCTGCTGTGATTCGCATGAGAAAGAGAAATTCATAAATACTATCAAATATTATGGCCTGTAGCAATTGCGGTCGTGAGGGCCACAACCGAACCACTTGCGCCCGCCAATCCCGTACACCGTCAAGGCGGCCAAAAGGGACCAAAGCTGACATAGACGAGCTCGCTAAAGCCATGCGTGACCGCCATTGGAAAGATGGGCTGCCCCCTGTTATGCAACAGTATATCAGAGAAAGGCTGGCGATAACCAAAACGATGCGGTGATTGCGTTGGATGGATGGATCGGGCGGGGATGCGTGCGGAACTGGTGGGGTTAGTTTAGCGTGGGTAGGACCAAAGTGTGTATGTAATACCCCCCATCGCATCAAACCCATCCACTGAAGAGCTCTGTTTCTGGCAGGTGGACGCCAAAAAGGTGTCCACAGTCCATGCCAACTAATATAGGGGAAACAAGGTAAAAGGAAAAATGGAGCTCCCTCACTTTGGAGGGCCACCTGATACGGCAGCAACCTGACCGCACTATGATTTCACTTGTGCGCGCATCTTCAGTCATGTGAAGCGGTACCCAGCTGAAAAGCAGCGTAGACGTTAGAAGCTGTTCAAAGGACGAAACGTTAGGGAACAATGGAATCCTGCCGGTGTTGTAAAAGGCCAAAGAGGGTAGTAGTTGGTGCGCTTTGTTGCGGCACCACGGTTGACCTGCTTAGATTCCGCTTCATTTCCGGCATTGCTTTGTTTTGCAACTATCCCGGGAGATTTTCATGTAGGATTTCCGAGTCAGGCTCATTGAATTGGGCCCTGGCGCAATGCACCAAAAAACCGCCGCACTGAACAAAAGATAGACCCACGCAGGGGTTCCTGTTCCTGACAGGAAAAGGATCATTCACAGACTTGTCTCACCAACGACAAACGGAAACCATTGCAAATATAGGTTGTTACGTCTGACAACGTAGGCAGTTGTTCAGACCCAAGTTATCCCACCATCCTAACGGCTGGATCGAGCGCGCGCAAAGTCAAGAAGGTCACTCCAATCAACACCTGCCAGACGAACTTGCGAGCTTGAAATGAGTCTGCGTGTTCTCCTGTTCTCACAACCGGACTGTTTTTTTTTATCCAGAAAATGCAAAACTTGCGGTCGCGGTGATATTCCTATATACTTTCCGAGGACGCGGGCAGTGCCGTTGCAGTTAAGTGTAAATTAGCGGACGGGAAACGTTATCCAAAAGGAAGGGAAAGCAGTCGCCCGGCCAATTTTTCAACCAACAGATACCGATGGGCGTGGGGCCATCGCCCTCTTTCCATCATCAGGTGACCCACGACTGGATGTGTACCATAGGTAGACTGTGTGATTATGTCCAAATACTTGGTGTTGTGGATACCCAATACGCGTAGACTAACTGGGATGCTATTCTTTCCGTACGACGCTTGTGTGACCATACTATTCGTACCTCGCAACACGATTCTTCTCCTTGCCCCGACGTGAAACACCGAACAGAAACAGCCGAAAGAAACACGTTCAAAAAAATCCCCGAGAACAAAAAAAAGAAAACTCAAGTGGGATGAACCATCGGGGATGGCGGGACGCGCGGATGGATATGGATGAGCGATGGCCAGTCAGTGGCTTTTTTGGAAAAGCTCATTTTGGAAATATTCATGACCTTGAATTTTGCGTGCGAATGGAAAATGATAGTGGAGTTCCGCTCCCCAGGCTCCACACGTGTGCCGAATGGTAGAATAATTGCAGGATAAGGTTGAGAAAAGATGGACTGAAATATAAAGCGGGTTGTGATGGGGCCTTCCCCCCTACTGTACCTAACCTCCCATCAAAAACATACCAAGGATGCCCGTCAGCAACTGGTTTGCGAGGGCTACCCTCCTCATACTATCCGCCACCATCCCCACGCACGCCGCCCCATCCTCCTCAAATGTGGTGGAAAACCTCGTCTACCGTAGCCCGCTTGTGGGTGTGGATATAGGTCTTGACCGGTCCCACCCGCCCCACCATGTTATCCGCCGTGCAGAGGCGGAGAACCCGGCGGGGGTCAAGTTTTTGCATGGGGTTGCGAGTGGTGATCCGTGGAAGGATTCTGTTATGTAGGTTTTTTGCGGTGTTTCATGCGAGAGGGTTGATGCGGATTTGACCCCAACACACTCCCTTCACCGTATGTAGCATTTGGACCAAAGTCACCCCACCTGCCACAAACCCATCCGGGGGCGGGGGCGGGGGGTGGGAGCGCGGCTGGCGCCGCGCGCCCGGCGGGGGCCCGCGGCGCGCCGGGCGCCGGCGGGCGCCCCCCGCCGGC